ATATATAAACACACACGCATGCACTCTTTGTTCAAGTATTGTGTGACTACAATAATTTATCATGAAATCTTGCTATAATAACTGTTCGAACATTATTGCAAAAATAAAATAGGAATTGCATTACAATTCTTGTAGTGATATTAGAGTTTTATAAACCTCCAATATATGCAAATTGTTGCAAGCCTAAACCACATTATCCAAGATTTGTTTAAACCTTATTTGTGAAGTAGGGTAATTTCTTAGAACTATAGTCGTTTTTATTAAAAAAAATCAATTTCATGAAATTAAGAATCCTATTTTACAAAATTTTAAACAGTTTTTTTAAAATAAATTGCAAATGTTTTGGATTTTCATGCAAATAAACCATTATTCTTTTAAGCATTTCCTTCTGGTCCCTCATGACTCCAAGGCCGAGCAAGTGGAAACGGCTGTCACAACAAAATCAAAACCAAAAAAAAAAAATCAATAAAATAAAGTGAAAAAGCGAGGTGTTTCTTCACCCTACAGCCACCTGCTCCTCTGCATGCAGTATAATGACATAACTCAGTAGATATTTTCCCCCTTCCCATTCCATCTTTTGAGCACAGAAGAGTTGATAACATAGAAGAGGCCAGAATTAAAATCCTATTCTTCCCTTTTCATCTCAATCATTGTTGCAAGAGAAGAAGAATAAGAAGAAGAAGAAGAAGTATTACTAAATAGAAACAAAGCCAAAAATTCTCCTTATGTATCCATCAGCAACCATCTCCAACTCCACAACCATAACAGAGGAAGCAAATGTTTCCCCTGAAACCAGAGTCCATGATCACTTCAATAACCTTACTCTCCTCTTCACACCCATATCCACCCAACCCAAACCCAAGACGAAGAGAAGCCAACCAGGAAATCCGGGTAAGCATTCTTACCATAATGAATGAGTGCTTTCTTAAATGGTGGCTGTTACAGCTCACAAATTGTTCTGTTCCTTAATTTTTTTTAGACCCAGATGCTGAAGTGGTGGCTCTCTCTCCCAAAAGCCTTCTTGCCACCAACAGATTTGTCTGCGAGATATGCGCCAAAGGATTTCAGAGAGATCAAAACCTTCAGCTTCATAGGAGAGGGCACAACTTGCCATGGAGGCTGAGGCAGAGGAATAATAATGGCAAGGAGGTTATAAAGAAGAGAGTCTATGTTTGCCCTGAGCCTTCCTGTGTTCATCACCATCCTTCAAGAGCTCTAGGTGATCTTACAGGGATAAAAAAGCACTTTTGCAGGAAACATGGTGAGAAGAAGTGGAAGTGTGAAAAGTGCTCGAAGAAGTATGCGGTTTACTCGGATTGGAAGGCTCATGTCAAGACATGCGGAACCAGGGAGTATAAATGTCACTGTGGAACACTCTTCTCTAGGTTTGTTCGTTTTTTTTTTT